CCCCTCGGCGATCATCGTAGCGTTCTCGGCCATATCCGCCGTAGCGATCTCGATCACCCCCATAACGATCACCACCTCGGCGATCGTCGTAACGGTCTCGGCCATATCCGCCTCCCCGATCGCCACTGTAACGATCTCCATATCGTCGATCATCGGGGCGATCTCGGCCACCATCGTAACGGTCTTGACCTCTGTCATCTCGCCTATGTTGGATTTAAAAGCAATGGGCTTTACGAGGAAGAACAAGAGGTTGTTGAAACAAAAGCCTACTGAGAGACTGAACACGGATTCACCAAAAATTTACTGGCAGGAGGATGTAAATAAGCGAATTTTCATGCAACACGGCATTTAGTACATTAAAACCATTTCATACCTGTCTCTGTCTCCATAATCCCAGTTGCTGCCAAATCCCTTTCCCCTGTCACGGTCCCCGTACCGATCGTCTCCTCGGCGGTCCTGGTATCCCTGGTCTCTGCCCCGAGGTCCGTCATCGTACCCTCGGTCCCTTCCACCTGATCTGTCCCAAGAAGGTCCATCGTCATATCCTCGGTAACCCGATCTATCCCGAGGTCCACCGTCGTATCCTCGAGGACCCCAACGATCACGGGATCCACCATCGTCGTTATATCTGTCGTTGTTACCATTCTGGGTTGGGGGAGGTTCGGGTTTGCTTCGCCAATCACTATCTGTGCGATCAGGTTCATTACTCCGATCCCGGTCACCGCGCTCGCGTTCTGTAAATAAACAAAGAAACAAAAAAAAGAATTACCTGCCATACATTTTTTAATGTTACAGGTAAAAAGGGTTGTGTAGAAGACATCCTTAGGGCAACAAATTAACAGAAACTGTTAAGGGGTATTTCTCGACATGATTCCAACGATAAATCGTTTCTTTATTTTTCGGCCATATTTAGACTCAAAATATATGTTAGATGATTTCAGAGAGGGTGTATACTTCTCATATCTGACTGGAAAAGTAGGACATTACTGTGCAGTGTCACTTGAAGGAGTCTTATCAAAAACTAGCTCATGTTTAGGGGCCTAAATACGATTCATCACTTTTCTTCTTCATCTTTCTTCATCTTAATATTACGAACACCGTATACAGAATGCGTTTCTTTTATCAAAACCTCACAAACATCCAAAACGTAAACTAATACAAGCTTTCAAGTGCAAGTGTATTTTGTACTGAAAGGCAAATCAAACCAAACTGATAACAAGAGTGTTTTTTGATCGAGCATCATTAATCCGAACTGACCAAAGTAATCACGATAGCAAATCAGAGCAAAAGAAAAGATCAGAGGGAGGAGATGGGAACTCAAATTGAAAAAAAAAAAAGAAAAAAAAAAACGAGAGAATGCAGGTGACGCACTCGCGATTGGTTTCAGTTTTGCACTGACTCATTTTGAAAATGGCGCGAATATTTTGGACCAATCCCAATCCATAAGGAAGATTGCAGCTACCTTTCGACATTCGTTGGAAAAATAGATTTAAAGTACTATTTTTGAGCTGTCGATCAAACAGAGGCAGGAGAAGGGGGAGGGTGTGCTAGGTAGAGAATTAAATTTCTATAAGTGGGAGCCTCATAAGAAAGGTGGGTGGCTTATCAGAGCTTAGATTTTCAGTAAGCATATATCGCCCTTTACCTTGCTGTTGTTGTTGTCCAGCAACGTCGACTCGTATTCTTCTGTTCTTCAGATGCTACATATATAAGAGAGAGGAAAATCAAAATGCAACCGTAATAAAGCTTGGGCTTCTTCAAAGACCACAAACCGTTTTTAAGGTGCTAACTATAACACCAAAGAATGATATTTGATGAAGTTCTGGTGCTCTAAAACACATTGACTCTCTCATCTACAAGATAAATCAAAGCTGATTTATTTTCATTTGACCACAAATTTAAGAAATGTATCTCAATTTTCTTATTTAATGTTTTTCAAAACTTAGCAGAAAGGCAGTTCTTGCAGAGCTTACTACAGATCCATAATAAAGAGCAACAGTCACAAAAGTCATTTAAGTTTGGGGTGTTTCTGAGATGCTTCAGTGTTGCTGCAATGCCAAAAAATGTCAAAAATTATACAAACAACTATTAAAAATAACATTAAAATAATAATGTATTTTTTGGAAGCTTATTGAAGAGAACACATGAAAAAAGTGTGCTAATATTGCTATAAAACAATTTGTCTTTGGCAATTGCACAACCATGTTCAGCTTTCTAAAAAACAAGAGTACATCCCTCAAATGTAAAAGTATATCATAGCACTACTGGGATTTTGTATTGTCAGAGTTGTCAATTGTTCAAAGGTTATTCAGAATTCAATTGTGGTATAGTGTACAATCTTTTTTCTATTAACATAAAAAAAATATTTACAATAATACCTCATTCTTTATTCTTATTTTACCTCAAGAATATCATTCTTTATTAATAACATTGTAACAAATATTTCTGCACTTGATTAATCAAACCTCTCCTCTAGTGAGAAATATACAATCCAATTTTCCATAGGGGATTGATGCAAGTGGAGCCAAACTGTGTTGCTATGTCCAGGAGGCAAGTGCGAAAGCTACATGTACATGTACTTGCTCCACTCAACCCATTGTTAGTAAATTTTTCTCAGTGTCAAACTGAACATGAGTCTTTGGGCTCCAATTTCTAAAACTTCCATGTTGGGTAGATCTTTGCAAAGAAGTTAAATAAAAATTACCTCATTGTTTAGAGTTAAAGCAGCCACAAGAGACTCCTTATCCACAAACTCTGCATAGCCAAACCCTTTAAGTCGCCCATTACTGTCTTGGGGGAGCCTCACTTCAGTGATCTGTATGACAAAAAAACCCTACTGTGAGAGACATGGCTCACAGATATCAAAATCTGAGTCAATTTTAAAAGATACATGACGTGATTTGGGTTTTCAATGAAGCTCCACAACTAATTTTGAAAACTAGAACCTCTTGGATACAGTTTCCAACAATACAAATGAGGATTGTAGCAAAATTAAATTTTAAACTCCTATCAAAACCCCAGTTTTCCCAAAAATGGCTTTTCCCCTGGCTTCCCACTAATGTCAGGCAAGTACATGCAAGTATATTATGCAAGTGAAATAAAAGTTAGACAAAATTTGAATACTGAAATAACCCTGAAAAAATACTGTTGTTATGAAGAGCACTCTGAGTTACCAAGTTATCGTACTCAGTTGTCTCTGAGTCTTGCCAATGGAATGTCAAGCATGTTGTTTTACTGAGAAGTGGTTGAAAGCATGTGACAGGACCGGGATGGGTGGATTAAACTTTTGCCAAATAAAAAATCTTATTCAAAAGGTAGCCAACTGGTGATAATTAAATAGTTTTTATGATAATTACACAGGCTTTGTACACTTGAGAAGGATATCAAGTAATTCATAAAGTTTTCCACCAAGAAAAACTCCTTCATAAACTTACCCAGCTATTAGGACCCTTCCCTGTAAAGAGAATATGGTATGCTATAGGTGTGTTGTGGTTTTTTAAGTTTTTTTGCTAAGAAAAAACTGTGTCTTTATGTTACCAAATAGCTCTATAACATCATTTCTGTAAACAGATATTGCTAGGTAACAAATTGCAGTGTACACCTGAACACTTCATACCTTTTTGCCGGCAAAGAACTCAAAGATGTCATCCCTGTCAACATCGTATGAAAGGTTTCCAAGAAATGCTGTGTAAGGGGGATCATCAGGAACTTTGGTAACATCTATGTCAGGGCCTCTGGATGCCCTTGGTGCAGTTGGAAGAGAGGCTCTATCCATTGCTGCACGTAGTTTATTGCCTGTAGAGATTCCCCCATAAGCCTCTTCAGGCCATGTAGTGTCCACTATAAAAAAAAGACAAAAAAAAAAAATCAAAATTTCATGTGTATGAATCATGGTCTAGGCATTTTTATAACATAGCTAGTAAATTTGTCTAATCAAATTCAATTGCGCGAGTGTGCTTCATATTCCTATTGTGCACGCTCATGACGTCAGCAAACAAATCCCTTGAGAAAAAAATTTTCCTTTGGGTTAAAAATGTCATAAAACAATTGGTTCATATGTCAGCCATGCGTTCATCGATATATGAAGCACTTGGAAAGTTTTGGAGAGCACTCAAGAAACTAGAGTTGCTCTCGGCTACACCTCGAGCAACTCTTGTGCATCTTTCATGCTCTGCAAACTTCCTGCATGCTTCATATCTCAATGAACGCAAGCTGACATATGAACCAATTATGAAACTGCATTACTGCCTTAAGGTACTGGAAATAGTAATTTATTCTCTTAACTCTTCCCTTTGAGGAATAAACTAGTTAGGGGACCAGCAATCTCTACTCACACAACAAATAGGAAAAGAAAATAGATGAATTCATTGAGACCTAAACAAAGGATAATTGGAGTAGAATTCATGAGAAGTCAAGACAAAAAGAAATCTTTTTAAGTTGAAGAAAGTTACAGATGTTGTAGTCATAAGGAAAGTACAGTGCTGCTTTCTGTTCAGCACACATTGTCTGTGAAAATTAGCCTGTTTATATAGCTTTACCTGAACATACAATTAAAAAAAGTGTTAATTATGAAATATAGAAAAGTCACCATTAAATATAAAGACTCTAAGCATTAAACTTCTATCAGTTACAAAAACAAGTCATCAAAAAACCTGCTTTAAGTTATTAAGTTTAAGTTAAGATATTTAACCCAAAAAAAGAGTTGTCACTGGAAAAATTTTAAATCAAAATCCCCTTCCCTCTCTTTGAGAATAACACCCATATTCCAACACATAACACCCATACTGCGCTATCCACCGGATAGTGATTTATCCAGTGGATAGTGTTATCCACCCTTTGAACAACCAGGACCAGAAGTATGGATAGTTACCAGTAAACTTTTTGGGAAAATTCACAAATTGTAAGGAAATGATCTTTAACAAATTGGTTGTAGATATACCCCAAGTATTTTTGAGAAGACCAGCTCAGTCTGTAACAGTGTGGGTACTGCATATTATGTATTGTGTTATGGAAGACATTTGAACAAAACCAAACTCTGAATTTCTCAATTTAACTTGACCGCATCCAAATTTTGTGATGCTAAGATTTTCTCATGGTCAGGGTACATATCCCATTTTTTATAATTGTACTTCCTTTGGGTCTGAAGAATTTGTTTTTTCATTTTACATGTAACATTATTTTCATCATACTAGGTTTCCTTGCGTCAGGATTCCATATCACCTTAAATCTATATTTACTCTTAAAAAAATAACATATTCCTTGGGATAAAGCAGAGTTGTGTAGGCTTTTTCAGTTCAGACTTTCCATGAAATAATTTTCCCTTAAAAGCTTGAGCAAAATCTCTTTTTTTTCTCCTCAGAACAAAATTTAGAACACAAACAAAAGAGATATATAAAGAAGACTTTCTAAGGGTGAGTTCTTTTAAACTCAAAATTATTTTACAAAATGTTTGGTATATGTCACCAAACCCCTTTAATTTTTTTGTCATTATCTCAAACTGGGGTTTATAATGGTGAATAAAGAAAGGTCCTTCATTGCGCAACAAAAAAATCCAGTCATGAAACTAATATTGTTTAGTTTTTTAGAAAAAGTAAAATCTCTATTTCTCAATAAATGACAAATAAATATCAGAATCTCTATTTTTTTCTGATATTTTTCTGCAGAGGTTAGCGTTGTTAAAACATTATTTAAATTATTAGTTAAAATCAAAGCAGTTGTAAGACACGTCATCTTGTTAGCGAACATACACGAGGTAACATTATCTAAAATACTTCTTCGTAGCTAATTTGTACTTGGTGATGGCTTTATTTTGTCTACACGTCTCTTGAGAGTCTTTAATTTTACATTTCAAAATATTGTTTTGAAAAATGTAACCATAACAAGTTAGTGGCAGACATGGGGCAAAAATAGAGAATCTATTTGTCGGTCGTGTCTCTTTGAATATGAATTATTTCTAGAGATCGATATGAAGGGTTTTTCGAGGTAATTACCATAACATTACAAGGCTTTGGGAGCCAAACATAGATGCTTGAAATCACTCATTCATTTAAATTTCATTCTGCTACCACAAAAATTTTATTTCTCTTAAAATAATTCAAGATTTCACAATCTCACGTAACTTAACTATCTTTTATGAATGACCTGCTAGCATGTCGTAGTGACTGTGTTTTATTTTTCACCGTGAAGTTGCACAAGCGTTGCAAAGATCCAATAAGGGTCCAACAGAAAAGAACAATCAATTGTGGTTTCTTCGAAATAATGAAAAATTTGTAACCTTATTTAAGATAGCCCTACACTGGGTTGAAGATAAATTGAATCATTGTTCAACTTATCGGTTTAAATAAGTAGCGTAGCGAGATCTTTGGAAGCCCCTGTGATACTATTTTGCCTTAATCAGCCCAAGAAACGCTCAAAAAGAACTTTAAATACCTTCAGTGCTTAGGTTCTCACTTTCGTCCGCCCAGCTCGTCGATCTAGCTGAGTATATAGCCGCATGAGTAACAGTCGACGATCCGTTTTCGCCATCTTTTGCCAAGAACTCGGTCAGGGCCAAAGTCTTCCCCTTTTTCTTTTTAGCTTTTTTAGCTGTGGCAAGAAACGGGTAGTATTACAAAAGAGCTACAATAAACGTTGTATCATCCAGTCGAAAAGACAAAAAATCGAGATAAATGAAAACAAGATCGAATAAAAAGAAGAAAGCAGCGAGTATGATCACCTGTTTCCGCCATCTTGGACAACGTGTGTGCGAGTCCCGGATGTAGTCCCGCGGTCATGGTCAGTTCGCGCCATCGAGCGCCTTCGCCTTTACTGGAGCAGACTGATTTAATTCGTGAAACAAATGATATTTAAACGCTATTGAAAATTTAGAAACAGTTCCAAGCACGCGTAAAAAAGGAAAAGAAAACCAAAATATTAAAAAGAATAGAGTGCGATTCTCGAATTGAAATTGAGCTCAGACATCATGAATTATAGGCCCGCAAAGCGTAGAAAAATTATGAAATCTTATAGCCGGCGCAACGAATCGAGGGCTCTGAGTTTAGGCAATGTTTAGTGCGCAAGGATACTGTTATGTTTTCTTCGATTTGGAATGAAGCATCCACGCACCGAAAAGCAACGGAAGAAGGTTGGCCTGACCCACGTAAGGTTCTGCTACAGCAAGGGAGATAGAAGTCAAGGCAAAGGCAATACAGAGAATGAGAAATCCTGATCTTCCACTCGACACCAATATAGCCATAATAGTTTACTCTCAAACCTTTGCCCAACACCTTTCAGAGGCAAATATTTATGCGACTATTTCGAGACATTATAAAAATGTGAAGCAAAATCTCGGCGTGCAGTCCCTTCAGTGAACCCGCTGACCATGAAAAATGATTGTTGGACAGTAGCAAATTATCGTACGCAAGAAGAACTAATGACAAAATCAAACAAAACAAAATTAAAAAGGGAATGAGTAATAGGTGAGGGAGCGTAAGTTCAGTCAGATTTTCCAAGATAAGCGGGAGAGATAAAAATATGTAGAGAAGCGAAGGTATTAAAGGTATGAGAGTGAGATCAAGAAAGAAGGATGTAAGGAAGGAAGTAACTTACAAAGGATTAGACTGTTCCAAGCGTTCAGCAAGCAAACCGGTGCAAAATTCGCGCTAAATAGACGGCACGATAGTAGCGGAGGAGGTCTGGGTCGCGTCGCGTCGCGTGGACAACGGCGTTCATTACGCGACCCGAACTAGTGTTCTCCCGCTTGTTTGCTCCTGCAATTTTCGAGCCGTTTTATATATCTCTCGTTCTAAATACTGAACGTCTTAGTGGAAATCAAAACGCCAATGAAGGATAGAATCATTAAATTAGAGACATTCACCCAGATAAGTACTACAGGAAAGGGCTAGAAGATGAATTTAACAACAAATAGTCTTTTACTTCAAAAAAACCCACAGAAGACGTAACAACACTGCATAAAAATATTTCCCTCTGGTAGCAACACTTTACTATGAATAAAGTGAACACCGATCAATTTCACTGGTGTTCACGGTTGAATAATTTACCCAACTACCTGTAATGTCTCACCAAATTCAGGAGCCCATTAAGTACTATGCTCCTGCAAGAGTATACTATAACTGAATAAGACGAGAAGAAAAATGAATATGGAAGCGATGCTTTCAGTTATGAACGCACTACTTAAGTAGTAGTGAAAATAAGGCCTGAAAAAAAATCAGGCCCGTACGGGATTTGAACCCATGATTTTTGCGATACCGGTGCAGCGCTCTACAAACTGAGCTAACAAGCCAACTGGGAGCTGGGAACTAGTAGAGCGCTGCACCGATATCGCAGAGGTCATGGGTTCAAATCCCATAAGGGCCTGAACTATTTTAAGGCCATACTTTCACTACTTCTTAAGTAATGCTCATAACTGCGAGGATCGCTTCCATATTCGTTTTTCAACCGCAGTTCGCGTATATGATTTTCATGCATTTACAGTCGAGAACAAAAAGGCTTCATCACTCCGTTTAATTTCCCGCCAGTAGGTGGTTGAAAATTTCCACTCAAAATAGTAAAAACAAATTGTTTCATGTTTCTTGAAAGTCCCAACCTTGCACCCTAAACGATGTTGCAATAAATTAGTGACTATTTTGTTAACAATACCAGGCGACACTGTTATGGGGCAGAGGGAGAGATAACTGTTATAGAAAAAAAAAATTCAAAAAGAGTTAGAGCGTGCTAGGCTTTTTGCCACTCATTGTAGCTAAGTACGACAGATGGCTGAAAAAAAAAAAAAAAAAAAAAAAAAAAAAAAAGGACTTGGCCCGGTTCAGGCACTAAACTTTGCACAAGTCGGATTCACATCGTCCAAAATCAAAAAAAAGTTTTCTTTCATGTTGAAGCAAAAAAGAGACTACCGTCAAAATACGGTAAAATGGATTAATATCTATTCAACAAATGAAAAGATCAGTATCTGAACCGAATCATAGTGCTTTAAGGAAGATCGTAAAGCTTGAACAAATGTGCGTATGGACAGACACATTTCAAGTTTTTTAGTTCAATAGTTTGTAGTACTGAATGTAAGGCTCTTTTGCCAAATATATCTCACTTGACTTATAATATTACCGCTGTAAAAAGTATTATTACTATTACTTAAGGTAACTTAAACCTTAAAAAACATTTCTTCAATGTACTGTGGTAATAATGTTCATTACCACAGTATATTGAAGAATTTTTTTAAGGGTTTAAATTACGCTAGATTTAAAATTAAGAATAAAAACTTACAGCTTTTATTAGTAGTAAAAACTTGGGTCATTTAAAAAGTTTACTCTTTAAGAGATATCCTAAAATCCATTTTCTAAAAACACCAACTTTTTCCATCACTAGCTAAAAGAAATGGCGCTAAAATTGTTTAGAAATAGTTCTATTAAAACATCTAAGAATTTAAAACATCATCACTAATATAATAATACATTATATCTGTTTCCTTTTTCTACGTGAGAGAGTCGTGTTCATTATCCTTTTGTTCAACTTGCACCATGCAAAATAAACGCTTGGACGTAAATCTTGAATGAAAAAAACAAACAAACAAACAAACAAATTAGTCTCTAGACAAAGATCGAAAGGCAAAATAAACGCTTGGACGTAAATCTTCAATGAAAACAAACAAATTAGTGTCTAGACAAAGGTCGAAAGGCCAGCCTTTGAATAAGGACACTTTTCTGACGAAATTCTAATCAAGGACTGATATTTCATTGATAGATAATTTGGCTTTGTTAACTAAGTTGATGATGTAAATTGGCCACCGTTCTAAAACTGACGTTTAGAGCCCCAAGCTCTTCGTCAACTCTGTTGATAAAACCAGATAATTGTGTAATACCCCACAACGACGCTGCACCACAGTTTCTCTGGCATTTTACCCCTTTCAAATCTTACTAGTTAAGGCGACTTGACAAGAACACTTGTCCGAGAAATTGCAAAGGGAAAAGGAGAAATGAAACTCCTGAAATTTACTATAACAAGTATCCTTGACAAGCTATCTTGTCTAGTGTGGGAGAGAAAGAATGGACGAGTCCAAGGTTATATGTTGAAATTGCAGAGCAAGCACTTTTCTGCCAAGCCTATATTCGCGCTTTAAGTCTTCCCTTTTCTGAAATCACTCTGACTTCTTTAGCTTTGCCAATCAAATAAAGCTGCTCAAAAATAGCATAGAGATAATCAGTTCTTAATCATTTAACTCCCAAAAGTGATTAAACTGTTATTTCTCCCTGTAATATCCGTACGCTTTCCAACATATAGATAATGAGAATAACTATCAGGCAGAAGTTGTTATCTTGATCTAACACCAAATTTTCGTTACTAGTGTACAAGGAAATGTGTAGCAGCTAGAGAGGAGAATTAACTATCAGATCTTGCGGAGTTGAAGGGTTAACCACCCAAACGGCCTAAAAATACGCATGGCATGCACGTCATGGCGTGCTTTGTTGGAAGCAAAGAAACTTGAAATTAAATGTATGGCAAAAGAACTAACCTGGAGAAGGTGTTATCGAATACAAGCACATATACTCCAGGAGAAACGTCTGTTATTTTACCCGTGATGGAAATTTGCTGAGAATTACACTGAGATAAAGGCACTACGGTCTGTTGGAGAGAGGTAAGCATATCTGACGTCAGAAACAGAAATATTGGAGAGAAGCGCAGTAGTACGAAATGGAACACAACGCTTGAACTACCACGTCTCCCCAAATCAAAAAAGGAAATTAACACCGACATATGAAAGTAAAAAGAAGATTGGGAAATTAATAGATGAATGAGTATGAGAATCGCCACGTTTTGCAGAGCAAGAATACGCTCATGCTATTGTTTCATCGTTTAAAAGGATTACCTTGTTTTAATGGGTTAGGATGATGACTCCGATTCAGACAACACATCATTCGATGCATTGTTCAACGCGTCGGCCGACGCATTACCAATTAGTTTCCTTTTGAATTAATGAGAAACGTCTGTTGTGTGTCGGTGATGTGCCGGCGGTGCGTCGGCGACATTTTTTAAAATCCAATTAAAGGTTTTGAAGGAGGATCAAGCTACAGTGCTTCTCTTTTTCCTTAAACTTCTCACTCATCTAGAATTAGTATGCTTTTGTTACCTATTTAGTGTGCTTTTGTTGCCGATAAACTTCTTAAAGTTAAAACGGTAATATGACGCCATCTTTTCTGTTCTTTCTCGACCCAGTCCCACAAATCAATCACACAATTCTTGTGTCAGGTCCTTCCTCTATCGCCAAGTTGATAAGTTTCATAATAGTAAGCATGTTGGTTATTGCTTGTTAGCGATCAAAAGAACGCTTAAAAAATGAAAATGCACTAGTCAAAAGTATCAAAGAAAACATTTCTCATATGTCCAGGGCGGTATACAGTTTTCCTTTTTTTCAACCATAAAGAGTCAAACGATGGATCGATGACTTTACGAGACACTACAGCGAAACTTTTGAGTTAACTTTCTACTGCTTTAAAACAATTTTTCTGAGAAACTTTTCCCCCCCAAAATTTGAGCTTCAAAACCCGGTGATATGCCGGTGTTTATGGTATTTTATTCCATCCCACTCGGCTTCGATAGTGTGTCGGCCGACGTGTCGGCCAAGACGTTGGCCGACGCGTCGTTAGGATCGAATTCGTTACCTTACCCGTCGCGATGGATGCAAGTAAGTAACACCGATGAAATGACACGATCTCCTACCTCGCACTCACTGTCCTTCTTTGTCTCCGAGA